AATGAAATCCGAGTAGTAAGATAATTTATTTTTAAAATAGGCGAAATAGTTCCTTAAAATACATGGTATAAATTTCAAAAAAGCACATCCAATCGTCATCAAACGACCAATTACAAACTAAACACGTCAGTTTCTCTCTCTTCCGTTTGCGTTTTTGCTTGCTACTGTCCATACTTTTAAATAATCTTCGTATTTCTCATTGTATATAAGAACGTTAGGTGTAATTTCTAAGACTTTTACTGGCTTTACAAAATTATGAAATGAAGCGCAGACGCATCAACAGTCAACACGCACATGTGCTTCGAGTTTCCTATGGTATCATATTTCACAAAATTGCAAGAAAATATAATACTATTAAATAGCGTATTAGCGTAATAAGTTCTTGGCCAACTTGGCTGAATGTTCGGTAAAGGGCCGAGCTTTCAGTCGACATATCCATGTTTTCGATCTCACATTTTCTACCAATTTTTTACAAACAATCTCTCTCCAATCAGGTATTGCCTTTTGGCTTGATGCAATTCATTTTGCCGACAACTGATTTATTGTATCGACGGACACGGCATTGGACAACACTGTTAAAGTCATTAAAATTCCTTCAAAACTGTTTTTATTTATTTTGATGCCCTTTAGAGTTTTGTGAAAAGTGCGAACATTTTCTACATGGTCATCAGAAACCTGATGGCGAATAGATCTAAGGAAATTAGCTAGATTGTGTTTTGTTTTGTCCCGGAGTATTGACCACGCACATACATGTATGTCATGTGCACATCATAGGTTATTTTGATCGCGACTCGTTAGTGGAAAGCAAATATAAAAACGCGGTTTCATGCTTTATAGTGTGAGCAGAAAATGTGCAAGTGAGGCTGACTAATAATGGGGAAATCGCGGTGATTTCCGACGATGTCCGGTTTCGATACGAGTGTAACCGGAACGCGTTCCGCAGATGCGTTCCGGTAACAATGGAACGCAAATGGAACGCAATTGGAACGCGAATGGAACGCGAATGGAACGCAAATGGAACGCATTTAGGAACGCGTTCCGGACGCGTTCGGGACACGTTCCGAACGCGTTTTCTGTTAGGTTATTTCTGAGCAGTACTGTAATAGCAATACTAGCCTTTGCAATAATACTCCTCAGCTTTTAGACCAACTAGTACGATGCCTCCAACCCCCTATCAAAATGAACAACAAGTTTCAACAACAGACACTGATCACAGCCAACAACAGACACTGATCATAGTCATCCAAATGATGGGGATTTGATTCTTCAGTCTACTGACCGTGATAATGATCAGTTAAGTTAAGGCCATGCTTTGTGTGTAAATGGTCTTCAACTACCTATTCCGACCAGGACACCACGGGAGAAATTTTTAATCCGGAGCCCCTATTTTCTCCCCGAAATATTGGCGAGTGGAGCGAGTTGATAGGCCTATTATTAGTAATACCATTTTTTGCTGCAGAATCATGGACTGTCACAATTCAGCTCCTGAGAATCTGCTTATACTCTTTTCTTAAAATTTTGATAATTCATTTTTTTTTGACGAAGGGCTACATCACCGTTCAAAGATGTATCTTTACATAGAATATAGAGGACTTATGATTATAATTTACCTCCAGTCTACCTGTTTTCTGTATTTTCCTGTTTGTTTCACTTAATTTAATACCTTAAATGAGTATAATTGTTATGAACAACAAAATTTAAATTGTTCGCCATCTGTTAGTCGCTGGGCATTAGCAGACGTTTCTCCCCGGTGTTCACCAAGATAGAAATCACTTGACAGACTGGCGTTCGAATTTCAGGGAACAACTTGTATTACAGTTGTGCGAATGTATTACAGTGTTCCGAAAAATGTCGACCAGTTCAATACCTAACTTCGAGGAGTTCCTCTGAACAATTCTTCAACAATTTGATAAGTTCCTTAAAAAGTTCCTAAGTTCCTGTTTCATTGACCAATCAAATTTTATATTTTAGTTTTGAGCAATCTGATTGGTCAATGAAACATGAAGTAAGGAACTTTTTAAGGAACTTATCAAATTGTTGAGGAATTGTTCAGAGGAACTCCTCGAAGTTAGGAAATGAACTGGTCAACATTTTTGGAACAATTCTATTGGCACGACTGTATGTAAGATTTATAAATTTCTTTAGCTGGTTTTCGGCAGTGTAAGATATTTATAGTAATGATCGAAGATCGCCGAAGGCGCTAAGGTAGAAATATTCATATTTGACTTTCACTACCACGAATACAGATGAAAGACGTTTAGTCAATGGTGTAATCCCTTTGCGTGCCGCCCTGCAAAGGTAAAAAAAAACATTGCCATTGCGAACTCGAGAGGCGTAATGATGAGTGAGACTGGTAATAGCGCCATGCAATATTAATAATAATAATAATTATTATAATAATGGAAACTTTATTTAATGATTATTAAGATATATACAACTACAATGATAAACCTCGCTTTACAGGTAGTTTATCAATGTCTACTTGAATTGATACTATATATTTATATTACAATAATTATTTTAATTAAGAAGGATTATATTAACATTAATTTTGGGTTATCCCACACCTTGTTTCGTTTACAAAATACATAATATGATGTTCGTATGCATATGTTCACGATTTGCTTTTTTATGTATTTACTATACTTGGCATCACATTTAAGGCTACTTAGCATGCCATCGAAATTTTCACAAGATCGGCCAAAAACTCCGAGGGTACTCAAGGATAAATTGACGAACTTGACTTTATCATAATCTGCTTCCTGCTCATTGATTAGATCACGGTACTTTTGACGCTTACGATTGGCGTTAACTAGCAGATTGGATTCATAACCGACTGTAAGCTCGAGGATGTATAGACATCTGTTTTCAGTCACCAGCAGAAGGTCAGGTCGTAAACGATCTCCCGTGATAACAGATGGATTCATAAAACCAGGAATGTCCGCGTAAATTGTGGAATTTTTCACAGCAGTAAGAGTGGATGCGAGGAAATTTAAAACAGAATCGTGTCGCCATGTAAACCGGCCTTCGTCTAAATATGTCTTACATCCAGCAATCACATGGAGCAGCGTTTCAGGTGAGGAGCAGAAAGAGCAATCGGATGTTGATGATAGTCCCCATTTTGATAGGTTCTTTCGTGTTGGAAGTGTGTTATTGATATATCGGATGGTGAAGTTAAAAATGTTTTTCGGAAGTTTGCTCTGAACGGATGACCATAAAGAGTTGAATGTGGATGTGGAATGATTCATGATACTGGAAAAGAAAGAACCTTGCGAAATGAGGTGGTTTTGAAGTCTTTGTTCGTTTTCTTTTCTAACTGCTTTAAGTACGTCTTTTGTGTCTTTGTAAATGTCATACTGTACGTTCTTGTTGGTGCTCGTCACCGCCCATAGATTGTTAATATCTACGTTTGGTGAGTATTTTAAAGCTGATCGAGAGACAGTTTGACATTGGATAAATTTTGTCGAAAGGAGAATAATATTCAGACCAAATTTATTTTGTGGAAGCAACACGTTGCTAAGGGTTGCAGAGACAGGAAGTTCCAGCCATTTTCGGATATATTTTGTCGCAATAATAATGGAAACTTTATTTATTGATTATTAGGATATATACAACTACAATGATAAACCTCGCTTTACAGGTAGTTTATCAATGTCTACTTGAATTGATACTATATATTTATTGTACAATAATTATTTTAAGAAGGATTATATTAACATTAATTTTGGGTTATCCCACACCTTGTTTCGTTTACAAAATACATAATATGATGTTCGTATGCATATGTTCACGATTTGCTTTTTTATGTATTTACTATACTTGGCATCACATTTAAGGCTACTTAGCATGCTATCGAAATTTTCAGAAGATCGGCCAAAAACTCCGAGGGTACTCAAGGATAAATTGACGAACTTGACTTTATCATAATCTGCTTCCTGCTCATTGATTAGATCACGGTACTTTTGACGCTTACGATTGGCGTTAACTAGCAGATTGGATTCATAACCGACTGTAAGCTCGAGGATGTATAGACATCTGTTTTCAGTCACCAGCAGAAGGTCAGGTCGTAAATGATCTCCCGTGATAACAGATGGATTCATAAAACCAGGAATGTCCGCGTAAAGTGTGGAATTTTTCACAGCAGTAAGAGTGGATGCGAGGAAATTTAAAACAGAATCGTGTCGCCATGTAAACCGGCCTTCGTCTAAATATGTCTTACATCCAGCAATAAAAAAAAAAAAAAATAATAATAATAATAATAATAATAATAATCTTTATTTATCCATCTTAAGCATAAAAGTACAAGGATTTACAGTTTGGTTGAAATTACGGTAAAAATATATAGAACATTATATACAGATAAGAATATTAAGTATGTATGGACAACTAAAAACTATGTAAGTGCACTTGCACGAGCTAAGAAGGAACGTTTATGTCTTTCGGTTCGCGATAATGCGTTTTTGCTACTAATTGTCCGTAAATCATAGGGATTATTTGATTTATAGAGCCTTGTATGAAAAGAATGGGAAGGATCATTCATAATCTTCCGCGCTTCACGTTTCAGAAGTTCTTCCCTTCGATCAGAGAGACTTTGTAGACAGTCATTGTTATAACCAAGAACTCGCAGGCAGCGGGTCTGGGTTCGTTCAATTTCATTTACCAGATAAATTGGAAGGCCACCCCCAAACAAGTGAGGCATATTCAAGAATAGATCTAATATTTGATTTATAAAGGGTAATACCTACTTCCACAGGTAGATTAGCTTTCCTGCATTCTCTTAAGAAATATACTTGACGGTTAGCTTTCTGCAAATACAAATCCTCCCATTGTTAAACTATTATTCGAGTTTTGCGTTCATGTTCTTTTCACAAATCTCACTACTCCTGAAATTCGCCATACTTTTGATAGCAGTCAAAAGTCCACCCATGAGACATAGTGACTCGTTGATGAATACTTCGTTAATATTTCCTTTTCCCAGGTATAAATAGCCAACCGGAACATCTGTTTAAATATTAGCATATTTTGCACATATTTAGTCTAAATAGAATATTTAGACTAAGTATTAATAACTCACTGACCGAGAGTGAGGGCAGTACTGGAAAATATCCAACCGAGGTCTTGCGTATTTCCCGATTGATAGCGAAGTCAATACAGCAAGATCGAGGTTGGATATTTTCCCGTACTCCCCGAACGGTTGAGGCCAGTACGTTTTTTTATTATATGGCATTGTACGTTTGTAAAAAATGGAAAAAAGGGTCACGCGAGTGCAAAGTACAAAGTCCGAAACACTTGAAAAAAAAACAATTGTAAAAAAGTTCTCTTGGTTAGTAAAACTACTCTACAGCATTTTTATATGGAATACTAACGCAGTTTGGATAGTATTTCGGGAAAAATACGAGGTATTTCGTCATCATTTAATCAAAAGCAACAAATATGAAAACAATAAAATTACAAAAACAAGTACGCTTTTAGATCGCTTCATTTCATCAATTTAAGTCTCTTTTTATGTAACAAAAACAGAAATTTCCAGGGAAAAATTATAAATCTGTGGCTTCTTTAGTTGTATTAGTAAAATTTACCTTGTAATTTCAACTTTCGCTAACAAAAACGTATTGACAAAGTTCTTTAACCACAGCAGTTGCTCCTTTTCTTTATTTTAGGTTTATTTTTCTTCGTTTTGAATAGTTTGAAAGACCTTTAGACACTTTTTCCGTTTGAAACCCTTCTCTCGTCGCATGAGGGCAATAAAAATTGCGTATTGTCCGTGGGCAATACGGGAAAATCCTGCCTCGTCAGCAGCCAATCAAATTTCGCGATTCATCAAAACAAATGCTTTCCATATAATAAATAATAATATACTACGTATTTACTCCGAATTGCCACTTCAGGGAAGTACGCCTGGATTGTAAATATGATCTCGGGGGCTTTAATGAATCTATAATTGCTTAAAGAGGCATGCAATTACAAACTCAAGCTCCTAATCTCCTTCTCGTCTAGATAAACGCTGTCCGTGTATAGATGAGAAAGAAACAGTCAGTCAATACTTAAACGCTAATTTCCACTCCGGATAATAAGCGCGGATCGGACCGGATTGGAGGTTTTTCCGGTCCGATCCAGCAAGCGAATTCCCTTAAAAGGACAAGTGGAATGATCGGATCGGAAAAGGAAAAATGGAGCTCGTTTATTTCGCGTTTATTTTAAAACGGCAGCGGCTCTGTTACAGGTGTGCAAATCCGATCCGAATCCGATCTGATCCGTTCGGATTTCGGAACAAAATATTCATTTGGGATCGGATCGGCTTGATAAAGTTGTTGTCTGTCGGATCGGACTTCGATATCCGAAATAAATGAATTAATTATCCACGCATTATCGCAAGAATTAATAATCTATGCATTTATCAAGGCATCATCGCGTTTGTCGCAGCATTATTCGTTTGATACTTCAGTTGGACGTCACTTTGTCAGCTTCTTGACATGTATTTCTTGCTTTTATATTTATTTGGTCAAATATTTCAACTTGAATGAGAAATTTATTTTATTAAAGAATTCTTCGGATCGGATAGGATTGGAATTCTTTATCAAAACTCGTATCGGATCGGATTCGGATTAGACAATTTCGAATCGGATCAGATTTTAAACATTAATTAGGCAGTTTGTGTGATGTTACTCTGAGTGTATATCCACACCGGGCAGGCTTGAAAAATATGCCTGGCCACCGCGGGATTCGAACCTACGACCTTTGGAATACTAGCCCAATGCTCTTCCAACTGAGCTACGCGGTCAGGACGGTTCGAGTAAGCGATATTTCGGAACTGAGTCTAGTTCCTTCGATATCAGTGTAATCTAATATTTATGAAATCTGCTGTGTTGGTGTAATGTACTCAGGTGAATAAAATGTTTGTGCGATGTTACTCTGAGTGTATATCCACACCGGGCAGGCTTGAAAAATATGCCTGGCCACGGCGGGATTCGAACCTACGACCTTTGGAATACCAGCCCAATGCTCTTCCAACTGAGCTACGCGGTCAGGACGGTTCGAGTAAGCGATATTTCGGAACTGAGTCTAGTTCCTTCGATATCAGTGTAATCT